TCATTAGCCAACTTATACCAGGAGACAAAAAAATTAAATTTAGGTTGAGAAAATATAGGATGATTTGCTCCTTTCGTGAATCTCGAATAAGACTTCCAAGAATAATTCAATCACTGATAACACTTCTAGATTACTGATGAGTGAATTTTGAGAAGTAGAAATATCTATAATTATATTTCACGTTTCGTTCGAAAGATCACATGTGTAGTACCCTATTTTCCCCAGGTGTTATCCACAATAATTCAAAGCTAGACTTTTTCCCGCCATATAGCTACTCCTCCCCGCCCATATCCGGTTCCATCTTTATTCGCGATACAAAATAACACGTTGCCCCACTTGACGGCAGATAGAGAGACAGATCCTCATGATTTGGAAGGGCAATCTCGTGCGTATCTACAATGGACAGAGGAAGTATCGAGAGTAACTTAGGTGAGCCGAAAAATTAAACAATGGAAACTATGCCGTTTCCGAAAAATGATATTCAATTCAATAGCATTCCACCTACTGCACAGGTCTTGTGCAGCTGGTATGTCACAGTTCTTGTGACATGCTGGAATGAAAGCACGGATTCACTTAATTCTTAGGACTAGTTCTTACTTCTGTGCTTGTTTGTGGGAAGAGGTTAGGTTACTTCTTCTTCTCGAATCTATGGTTACTCATATCAACTAGTCAGTTTTTGCAATGTTGATAAGAAGAGAAGCAAAATGAAATGGAGTACAATTAAATTAATTATCCTCAAAGAATGTTTTATTTATTTTCAGATGAAAATAAGATATTATTGTCCCAAAATCCCCAAGAAGGTGGTTCAGATCCTTCGTCATTGGAAGAAGTCAATGTACCTCCTCTGAATACTGCAAATATTACAAATTCTGAAAGAGGATAAAACTATTAAATCTTATGTGACATAATCCCTAAGGATATAGCTGTCACATGGGATTCCATTCTGAAAGAGGGTTTAGACGAGCCAATGTGTGCCACTCTCATGAATAAATATCCACCAATCAAAAACTGTTCTGTAGTGGAAGGCCCAAAACTGAACAAAGAAGTCAGAGCTGCTTTGACAGACTCTGCAAAAAACAGATGTAACCATTTGTTAAAAGCACAGAATCAGGTGGGTGCCAGCCTTTCGGCTATTGGGAAAGCGCTTACTATCCTAGTTGGTGATGATACACTGTTGGATACTAATAAAATTCAATTTATTGAATTATTAAGTGATGCAGGTGCAAAAAACAGACATGACCGTTTGTTAAAAGCCCAGAAACGAGTGGGTGCAAGCCTTTCGGCTATTGGGAAAGCGCTTACTATCCTAGTTGGTGATGATACACTGTTGGGTACTAATAAAATTCAATTTATTCAATTATTAAGTGATGCAGGTAGGTTTTTTTTATCGCTTGGAGCGCACGAAAGGGAATCCCTATAATGTTCAAAGAACATCGTGCGTTCCTAGGGAGGATAGGGATAGGAGGTAGGTATTGGAATTTTTTTGAATTTCTGGAGATTAAATGTTGTTGGGAATACTTCCTCAGGCAATGAATTCCAGAGCCTAGCCGTTCTATGGATGAAGGAGTTTTGATAAAGTGTTGTTCGACATCTTTCGAGGTTGACAACGAAAGGATGTGCTGACTGGGCTTGTCTAGTTCGTCTGACTGGTATTGCTAGTGATGATAGCAGAGATTTCCGAAGAACATTTCCCGTGGAAGTATCGATAGAAAAGTGAAAGGTCGCCTTGAAATGGTTAAACTCAGCAAGTACTTGAAGGATACCTTTGCTGAGGCAGGTTTGGATGAACGGGTAAAGATGGCCTATTGAAAAATCTGAGCAATAGTTAGGGGAATCAGCTCAAAGAGCTGAGAAAGGAAAGAGAAGCTCTTGTTTTGCTGCTTGGTGCTCAATTACATAAGAGCACAAGATTCGGACATGGGGATATGAGATTCCTTTTGAAAATAAGCCTTTTCAACTGATTCCTCCTATAGAAACATAATGGTCTGTTGAAAAGGGACCTATTGAGTATTGGAGCCGTAGTTGAATGCAAACCATGTAGAGAACAATTTATATCGAATATATTCCTCATATCAAAATCAAATGGCAAAGTACGCCTCATTTTGAATTTAAAACGTTTGAATCAATTCATTTCATTGCAGCATTTCCACGACTCGAAGATTTGTTGTCAACTGGGGGAAAAGTCAAGCGACACCATATTTGTCTTGTAGATTTTTAGGATTTTACTTTGATTCAAAAGAAATGTTAATTGAGTTGCCTTCTGAAAAGCAGGACAAAATTCATAGCTTGCTGATTAACTTTTCGAAAGTGAGTGAATGTTCTATCCAAACATATGCACAGTTTGTAGGAATCTCGATTTCAACTTATGTGGAAGGGCATACACAAAGAAGTTCGAAAGAACTAAGTATTTGGCATTGAACAATTTATGATTCCTTCAATGACTTTTCCAAGCTCCTTAAAAGAAGAATTTGATTGGTGGTTCAATAACATCATGATCTCTAGTGTTAGGGGTCCAACAAGGCCTTTGGGCATTGGTCTAGTTCAGTTATTTGGAACTACTTGCAGCTTTCTTGCTACTTGCTGGTCATTTATCTAATGGTAATATTCTCTTGAGGATCGAAAAAACTATTGCTATTTCATACGTGAATAGAATAGGGAGTATTAGATTTGAAAATCTGAATAGACTCGCAAAATATATCTGGCAGTGGTGTGAACAAACGGACATCCTATATTAGGTCAGAAGATAATTATGAGGCAGATCATCAGTCAAGAAAGCTATCAGAGGAGACGAGTGGGAACTCAGTTCAAATGATTTTAACATTATACAAGCAAGTCTGGGGACTCCTGACAACGATTTATTTGCCAGTAGAATAATAAATGTGCCCGTTTTGTCTCTTGAAAGAATGATCCAGATGCCACCTTTGTAGATGCCTTCACAAAATATTTTTTTTATTCGTTTCCTCCCTTCAGTATGATTTTGGCCTCTTTGCAAAAGATCATCGAAGATCAAGCAGAGGGTATTATGGTTGTTGCTTCTTGGACAACACAACCATGGTATCCAATAATCAAGAAAATGCTCGTGTCAGAGCCAATATCTATTATTGTCTGTCGACAGGAAACCACATCCCCTGTGGAAACAGCTTTCCCTGGAGGTCGGGATTTTGTCCTCCAAGCAATGATGAGGAAAAATACAGAGATATCGGTATAGAGATAAAGATTCCGGGTAGGATAAAGATTTCAGCCTAATCTCCTGCTGCCAAAGTTCGAGAAAAATTATGTGTAGTAGAAACTATAAAATCATATATCCAGAGAACTAAAAGAATAAAAAATGATGGATCTCGGACACTTTTCACAACCTTCAAGAAACCATACCATAATGTAAAATACCAGTCCATCAGTAGGTGGATATAAACATCAATGGAAAAAAGTAGACTGGATACATCAATTTTTAGGGCGCACAGCACACGTCAAGCCTCCACATCGGCTGGATGTAGAAATGGGGTTAATCTTGATATGATCCGAAATACAGCGGGTTGGTCAAAAGATTCCAGCAACTTTGCAAAGTTTTACAACAGACCTTTGCAGGAGAGAGGGGTTTATGCAAACAGTATTCTAAGGCTTCCATAGATTCTAGATCATTGTAATAGTATATTACACACCGAGATGGGAAGTGATTCATTCCTGTCGTGAGATTAGTTAGTTAACCGAGACGCAAAGCGTCGAGGTTAACACTTCCCAACCTTCAATTACGTTAGTAATGACAACATTACATATATGGTTGTAAATAAAAATAATATCAGTATGTTCTAGTTGAAATGGAAAGTTGATTACTTCGTTCGTAGATTTGACATAAGTTTTATAGGATTAGTTGAGCACAGTTGTTCTCTCTTATTCGGTTTTGAATAAAGAAAATACATAAATGGATATATCTATTCCTGTTGAATAAGTCCGAGTTGTCGCAACCGCTTCAAACAGCTATATATGTGATCATGAGAACGAGAAGTGGAATATAATTATAAGATCAAACGAACTTACCTTAAGTGAAGTTTGATCCTAATTATATGAACGTCTCGTTCGAAAAGATCACACCCACCCTCCCATGGGACCCGTGATCATAAGTTGGTTGCGACAAGTATTGGCTTTGAATAATGAACATGGGACCGAATATGGGCTTTGAAATATTATGTGAATAGCCCCTGGGGAATATGCGAGGGAATATGTGATCCCTTCGAACGAATCATATAGGAGAAAATAACGTGAACACTGGTATGGCAGGAATGAAAAAGAAATTAGTATAAAGTAACAAACAGTGAGATTAAGCGACGAGATTTCATGAACACAAGGATTCCTTATCGTGCAATCCAGAAAGAGAGTCAGAGGGAAGCACGATCTTCGATGAGTGCGATTCCAATTAGGACTAACATTTTTAGTCTCGCCAGTCGGCGCTACTGGGGCTTGAGTTCTATGTAAATGTCGGAATTCCCCAAATTTTGCTTTAGAGTCCTGAATGCTGAGGATAGTTTCGTCGGAAACTTGCAGAATCCAAAACAAGCAATAAAAAAAACTCAAAATGCATAAGTATCGATTAGTATTTAACATATAATAAATACTAAAAGATGAAAATGTAAGCAGCAGTGGTTAAAAAATTTTATAGTTACATAGACAACCTATTTCACAATTTGGAGGATTAATTCATCAATTCACCAATAGATGATACTCATAGATTCCGATGAAATGAACATATAATCGAGAAGAAAATAATGTCATCTACTTGATATACTAATTAAATTTTGATTTTGTATAAATATATGAATTCTTTGAGAAAAGTATTTGAAACATATTTGTATTAATTTCAAGAAAAAATCATAACCATACATATTCTTCAATAGATCCATTCCCAGATCATCATTCATTAACTATTTGAATGCCCCCTGTAGACACCGCCTAGACAATTCCCCTCTCGCGCAGCTTGTCACCCATTATATCCCGATATATAACCAATAATAGGTCTGAAATCTAATTATGAGCATATTTTTCAAATATATTTTTGGGACCAAATTAGTAATTTCTTGAATTTGCCGCCATACCAGCGATAACAAGTCGAAATTGGATCTTATTATTGGTCAAGCACAATCGATCATCAAGAAAAATGTATTCACTAATAATAAGCTTCTTCCATGTGTTATGAACTTTATGGCGAACACTATTCAGGGTTGAGCATTAACTTTTAAAACGCATAATGTATCTCAATTTTGAGTTAATCAAATGAACCAACCATCATAAAGATCTCATATTGAGTCAACATATATCACAAAATTAATAAATTAGTATAGGTACCATATATGGAATAGGTACCTATTTTTCCAGTCTCCAATCAGAGTCAGCAAGGAGTAACTAGAATTGAGTTCCACGTTTTATACGCCTCAGCACATTCATTAACTCCACGTAATGTCATAACCTTTCCAATTGGCATTTGGTGCTAGATGTACCATTTTTCCTTCGAAATGAAATGTCACTATTCCTTTATAGGCAGTTCTAGGTACACCACTCTGAAAAACAAAAAATCAGGGTGATTCATGAGAAATACCACATAGCCAAATGGTGGATGGAGGAAATTAAGGAGGGTTGCCTTATAACTTTGCTACCGATATTTCAGAGATAATTCATCGAGGTATCCAGGTAAGATTAGGTTCCATGTGAGAATCCAGTGGCGCACTCAATTTTTTTTCGGGGTATGGTTTTGCAGATACGACTCAAACTTCCCTTCAGAATGATATAATAATGCAATGTATAAATATGAGAATTTAAAAAATGCCTCAAAATCACTCAAACATTGAATTTTAATAGTGGGCTGTGGATTTTTAATATAAAAAAGTTCCAAATGAAGGAGTAATTCTTTCAATTTCTCTATGAAGAGGACAGAAACAATACCAACATTAATTAACTAAAAAAAAAACAAAACTTAAGTACCTGATATTGATGTCTATTATTTTACGTCTTAATGCATTCAAAATCATTAAAGGAGCTAAGGAGGTATTTCTAATTCCAGGAAAACTGCCTCTGTTGTTGCATGAAGTACTTGAAGACTGTTGTGCCTCCTACTGTATTAAGACTTTTTTTTTATCGCTTGGAGCGCACGAAAGGGAATCCCTATAATGTTCAAAGAACATCGTGCGTTCCTAGGAAGGATAGGGACAGGAGGTAGGTATTGGAATTTTTTTTGAACTTTGGGAGATTATATGTTGTTGGGAATACTTCCACAGGCAATGAATTCCAGAGTCTAGCCGTTCTATAGATGAAGGAGTCTTGATAAAGTGCTGTTCGACATATTTCGAGGTTGACAACGAAAGGATGTGCTGACTGGGCTTGTCTAGTTCGTCTGATTGGTATTGCTAGTGAAGGGATGATAGACGTATTGAGAAAGTGTGTCAATTGTTAGGGAAAATGGACATCAATTTGAACAATTCAACGAATAAGTTACTGAATAATTTCGAAATTCAATTGTTTTAGTAAATATTTAATAAGTTGCTTATTTTACAATATGAACTTTTCAATACTATTGATTTGTTGCTATCAGGTATCTAAGTTTTGTGTTTTGTTAGTTAATTAGTGTTGGTATTGTTTTTGTCCTCTTCATGGCGAAATCGTAAGAAATATTCCTACAATTGAAACTTTTTCTATATGAAAAATTCATAGCCCACTATTGAAGAATGAAAAATCATAAGTTTGAGCCGTATCTGCAAAACCATAATACGAAAAAAAAATTGGAAATTTTCGATGAGAAACTTCGTAGATATAGAAGGGGTTCAAAAAGTATAAATTTTCAAAATCACCCTGTATCTCATAAAAGAAAACAGTTATACAAAATATGATTAGGCCATCTTGAGAGACCGCGAAAACCGCAAGGTTGTATCTTCAAAGATAACTGAGATATCACGTAAAAGCATCGAAAACGGGACACACTGTACAATCCACTTATTTATACAAAGTCTATGGTTGCATGGGGCGACATTTCAATAAAATCGGTAGGTTTTAAATTGGTGGGACCAAAAATGTTGCCTTAGTATCTCTAAGCAAGAGCATCAACATAATGTGTTCAGTCGTTTCGTCTCCCACACGTCAGAAACGAAAGTCTAATCATTGTTCATTGTTGGTTTAGACTTTAGACCCATCCTTCCTAGGTGATATCTTAGACGAACAGGTTGCTCCTGCTTCATTATAACATCTGCATGGTTATATGTTTCGAGGGTTTAGGCAGAAAGGCCTTCGAATGAGTCCATCCTGCTAATTCATACCAGTATGGTGAGTCTTTTTTCTTTGGTTATTCGGTTGTTGTATGTAAGTAATGTCCTACAGATATAATGAAAAGTCTAATGAGAATGATACATAAACTATAGTGTACGGGGGTGTCTCAGAATCAGATGTAATAAATCATACGGAAGATTTCTTATTCAAATGAAGGCAAAATGTCAAAACATACATATATGTCCCAAAACAACCTGTTTTTGGGCTACAGGGTGTTGACATTTTTTTAAAAATATTCAATTTTCTCTGCATTTTCGATATCGTTTAAAATATTTCAATGATAGTCTCATACATGGTATATTCGAAAAAAAAAATGTTTCTTGGAAAATGTCAACACTTAGTAGCTCGAAAATAGTACGTTTTAAAACATATTTGTTCATAAAAAAAATGATTATATTTATTTTGAACAAGAAATATTCACAAAAATTTCAAATGTTGAAATAAATATCATCGAATACGTACACGGTGTCCCACTTGAATTTGTCACCCCCGAGGTCACCCCATTTTCTGGAATATTTTTTTGAAATTTTTTTGAATGTTACGATTTTTTTCATTCATATAAACAAACGCGTATTCAGTTATTAAATTGTGGTGCATAGTTGACAACGCATCGGAAATATTGGGGCCATCGCCCAGTATAGTAATTTCGTTCAACAGAGAACGGAGTGAAAAAGGGAACTCGGGAGGACAAAAAAGAACTTGGTATCGATACGGCGAGTAAAAAGATATCGGTACGAATCATACTAATCCGATAGAAATCGTTTTGCTTTTTCGTCAGCGAGAAACATTCAGTCGAGGTGGCTAGATTGTAGATTGTAGATTGTAGATTGTAGATGGGTCGTATAGGCTGGGAGACCTCTCGATCACTGCGACCTAGAAGATCTATTGTGATTACCCCTATCTAGTTTTGGTCCTCTAACCCTAGACTTCTGATGAAGCCTACGATTTTCCTGACGGTTGACTTTTCCACTTCAGCAGGGGTGAGATAGACCTGTTCTAGGTGGTTCAGTCTTTGGCGGACTAATACTTCACATAAGCAAAGTATGTGTTCCGCGGTTTCGGTCGCATTGTTACAAAAGCGGCAAGTGTCAGTCTCCGCCAGACCCATCTTTTTGAGATGGTACCTCAAAGGGCCGTGTCCTGTGAGAAAGCCTGTGATAAGCTTTAGCTCTGGTTTGCTGAGCCTGAGTAGCTCTTTGACTCGGTTCTGCGAATGGTTGATGAACCTTTTCGCTTGTCGTTGACCTGGAGTTGCTCTCCAGTAGGAGGACTTCTCAATTTCTTCCCATTTCCCGAGTTCTCCCTTTAGGTGACATTTGCTTATCCCACAAAAAGGCTGAGGACCAAAGAGTGCAGATATGCTGCACCTTTTTTTGCAAGGCGATCAGCTGCCTCATTTCCTTTGATTCCTTCATGCCCTGGAACCCACATAAGTGTGACTTTGTTGCCCTTTCCCAGTTGCATGAGTGTTTCAAAGAAGTCTCATGTAATCTTTGATGTGAAAACTAACGATTTTAGGGCTTTTAGTGCGGCTTGGCTGTCTGAGCAGATATATATGTTGGCACCCCTCAGGCCTTTGCTCATGCACCTTTGGGCGCAAAGGTTGATGGCATGTATTTCAGCTTGGAAGATAGTGGGGGAGTGACCTAAGGCTTCAAATAGACTACATCCGGGTCCATATACATCCGCGCCTACCCCTTCTTCCATTTTCAAACCATCGGTGTACCAAACAAGGGACCCTCTGTCTAGCTGAGGCTCAGCGGAACCGTACCTAGGGCGGCTTTTTATAACCACTTCAAAGGTATGATCGAAACTAAGCCTGGCTGGCATTATGTCCGATGGTTTGGTTGCAGATTCCATTTGTACTTCTTGTAGAATGACCATGTGACCAGTGACATCACCTGGTCTGGCCAATTCAGTGGAGTTCAGTCTGTATGCACTGAGAGCTGCAGTCCTCTTGATAAAAATATGCAAGGGTAGTAGGTCAAGCATAGCTTCCATTGCTGCAGTAGGGCACGTACGCATAGCCCCTGTGAACCCAAGACACGCGAGTCTCTGGATTTTTTGCAGCTTAAGTTGAGCTGTTTTTTCCTTACTTTTGGTCCACCACACTAGAGAAGCGTATGTGACCATGGGTCTGACCACCGTGAGATAAGACCAGTAGATCATATTTGGTTTAAGACCCCACGTTTGGCCACACATCTTTCGGCATATCCAGAGAGCTGAAATTGCCCTATTGACGATTTTGGTCAAGTGTTGGTTCCACGTGAGTTTCTTGTCTAGGATTACTCCTAGATATTTGACCTCTTCGGAGAAATTGATAGGCGTCCCATCCATAATGGGTTCCTTTAACTTGATCTTCCTTCTTCGAGGTGGCTAACTAATGTGTGTGTGATATTTTGGAAAATTTCGTTTGAACGGATGTAACCACCACATTCAGTTAATATCAGGAATGGTCGTATGGAATTATCGATTTATGGTTGTTTGGTCCCAGATTGGTGACCGTTTTTGGAGAAGTTGTTAGATTAGTGCCACCAGTACACTGTTGTTTTGGGGAACATCTCTGTTGTTAGGGTACGCGGCAAAAGAGGTGAGCCATTTTAGCGGTTAGATACTTTCTCAGATAAATACACACGATTCCACTCTCGTATTTAATTGATCGTAATATTTTAGGCGTTTTAGTGATGGAAGGATAGAACGATTAATAGATGTTGGTCTAGTAGGCCAGTTGCTGTCATCACTTGCCATACCGGTCAGAGAAATAAGATTGTTTTCCGTCTCTAAAGCCAAGGCCTAGGTTAGGCGACCAGGGCTAATGAGTAGCGTTTCCTGGGAGGCATAAGGAAGCTAATGTGATTGTCCGAGAGAAGGGAAAAGGACGGACGATAAGTACCACATAGTGGAAATTTTATTTTGTTTCTGTTATATGTATAATTGAATACTATGAATACACTTCGTATAATAGATAGAATGTATATTGAAGGTTGTGGTATCGATGGGGATCGTTGTTGATTTAGGAATCTTTTGTTATTGAGAATTATATCTTATATTAAATATTGATACTCAGTTATATTTAGTATTAATTATAACATGGCGCAGTCGAATTAACGAACCAAGTCTGGAAATTGAATACCTTAGAAAGGAAAATGGAATTTTTGAAGCAACCCAAACCAATGAGTCTGGTGGGAGACCTGGGAAATAACTGGAAGAAATTCAAGAGTAGCTTTGAGTTATACTCATCAGCTACTGGCTGCAAGGAGAAAACGCAAGATATTCAAGTAGCAGTTTTATTGCATTGCATCGGAGAAGAGGTTTGTGAAATTATTGAGACATCAGAACTCTCTGTTGATGACAAGAAAAATGTGACAACTGTTGTCAAAAAATTAGAAGATTATTTTCTACCCAGGAGTAACCCGAGTGTTGAGGCACACAAATTCAACTCTAGAAAGCAACTTCCCGGTGAGTCGTTTGAAAATTTCCTGGCAGATTTAAGAAGATTAGCGAATAATTGCGACTTTGGTATCCTCAAAGACAAACTGATCAAAGATAAAATCATAAGCGGAATCAGAGATGCGAGAGTGAAAGATCACCTTCTAAGAGAATCATCTTTGAATTTGATAGGAGCTATTAATATTTGTCGTGCTGCTGAACAAACAGAACAACATATAAAAGATCTTTCAGAAGGAGCGAAATCAATCGAAATTGATGTTATTGGAAGGAAGACAAGCAGTTATAGAAGGAATCCGGAGGTTGATTTCAGAAGGTCAGAACAAAGATTTGCAGACGGAAGATTAACGGAAGGAAGATTTGCAGAAAGAAGACAAGCAGATCAACGAGCAGAACAGAATGGAGCACAACATGAATTTGAGAAACCGAGAAATCGATGCGGTCGATGCGGATTTAATCATAGCTTTAACAGGTGTCCTGCTATGGGTAAAAAATGTAAGATTTGTCTAAAATATAATCATTTCTCGAATTTTTGCAGAACAAATAAGTGGGAAAATGTACATGCTATGACTAGTACTCTTGATGATCCAAATTTTGATTTAATCGAGTCTAATGTGGAAGCTCAGGTAAATTTAATTGACAATAATGATAGTATTAGTCCTCAGAAGTTTCGTATGCTCCAACAGGAAACGAAAAATGATATTGAAATAATAACTTTGCTAAATTATATTAAAAATGGTTGGCCCATAGAAAGAAATAACGTCCATAGTTTAGTTTCACCATATTGGAATGTGAAAGAGGACCTAGTTGTACAGAAAGGAGTAGTTTTCAAAGGTAATCAGATGGTTATTCCTAAAGCTATGAGAAAAGATATAATAAGTAGGTTACACTATAATCATATGGGAATTGATAAAACACTCCTGAAAGCTAAGGAACTTGTGTATTGGCCCTTCATGACAAAAGAAATTACTGATGTAGTAAAAAATTGTCCAGTTTGTCTGAAATTTCAAAACAGTAATATAAAAGAAACTTTGCTGAATAGGGAAATTCCTGAAAATCCATGGCATACTGTAGCTGCGGATTTTTTTCATCTTGATGGTAAAGAATATTTACTCGTAGTTGATTGTTATTCGAAATTTCCAGAAGTTCATTGTTTAAATAATGATATCACTAGTGATAAGGTTATTCAAGTGATGAAAAATATTTTTTCAATCCATGGCAAGCCATTAGTTTTATATACTGATAATGGACCATCATTTGTTAGTTTCAAATTTGAAAAATTTCTCACGGAATGGGATATTATTCATAGAACTAGTTCACCAAGATATGCACAGTCTAACGGGTTCATAGAAAGATATGTTCAAACAATAAAGAAAATATTAAGAAAAGCTATTTATGATAATAAAGACATTCATTTGGCACTGTTAGAGTATAGAAATACTCCAATCAGTAATGATATACCTTCTCCAGCACAACTTTTGTTCAGTAGGAGACTGAGGGGTCAAATACCAACAAACGAATCTTTACTCAATCCAAGAAATGTTCACAAGGAATTCAGAAAAACTTACATCAATTCACAGTATAAGCAGAAATTATATTATGATAGAAATGCTTCAGATTTGCCTATTTTGAAAGTGAATGATTCTGTGATGGTTCAGTTCAACAAAAATGAATGGGAACCAGCAGAAATCATTGAAATTGACCATGCAAGGCCAAGATCGTATGTTGTCAAATTGATGAAAAATAATAAAATATTCATAAGAAATCGCAGGTTTTTAAAGAAAGTTGAGAAATATAATATGAACTATAATGTTAACTACGATCCAGTTTTTGACCCTGGCTATGGATATGGTACTAGTGATTTAGTGAATGATGAGGTTATGAATGATGAGGAAGTTGTTAGTTGTGAAAATAATGAGGTGAATGAAAGGAGTGATAGAGGAGGAATGAATATAGATGAAGAGAAAAGTGATAGAACGGAGTATACAGAGAGAGAAGGAACTAGTTATCGACGAACTAATAGAGTGGTTAGGAAACCTACTCACCTCAAAGATTATGTTTAAATCGATTCTATACTCAATTGTTGATTTATTTTAGACAAATCTCAAAGGAGGGAGATGTTATATGTATAATTGAATACTATGAATACACTTCGTATAATAGATAGAATGTATATTGAAGGTTGTGGTATCGATGGGGATCGTTGTTGATTTAGGAATCTTTTGTTATTGAGAATTATATCTTATATTAAATATTGATACTCAGTTATATTTAGTATTAATTATAACAGTTTCGACTGGGAGTTTACGCGGGTTATGTTTCTATCTGACCAATATTGATGAACGTTGTGTACCATCGCTATCATTGTGCCTAGTAGTATAGTTTTAGTCGAGGGGGTTGTGAGAGGTTGTGGGACAGGGCTTTTTGTTATATCGCACGACACTACCTGGCCCAAAATCTCAAGCTCTTCCAGGGGTTTTCCCCATTTCTAAACGATCACCCTCTGAGTTCTCTGCAAAATATCAAAATCCTGACTCAACTGATGACTGAGCTATAGAAGACGGGAGATGAGATGCAGGACCCTGTATACTTGCATGATGCTTCAGTATCAATAAAAATATCCTAGTATTCCTAATAATGATCGAGATTGTATTTAAATCCAATTTTTTGTGGCCCTGGCAACAGCGTAATGCCTAGAGTTCCCAGAAATACAAGAAGAGAAGAAGGACTATATTGTCAACCTAACTTCCTAACGTCAATATCTTCTGTCAACTTCATCTTCAAATCCTTGATCCATCTAGTCAAGATGCGAATATTCAAAGATCCTTCTCTTATTATCTGATTCTACAGTTGTGTGTTATGTTCTCTGTTACCTGCAGTAAGTATTCAGTCCAGAAAATTCACTAGAGTCTAGGGCGATTATTTTCTGAGGAGGCGAACTTTTTTCATATTTTGATTGAAATGGCAATCAGGAATATTCTTGTACTTGTCTTACAGAAATAGAGCATGTATGTCGAATTTTTTCGGATGTGTACGTCGATCACGCATTATCTCGCGTTTTTCATGTTACGAAATAAGGTGAATTTAAAAATACACAGAGCTTTGGAAAAAGGTAATAAGGCAAAATGAAAGATACTAGCAATAATTCACTTACGCGATTCATTAAACGTAGGTACCTAAAAACAACAAATGAATAATAATACATTATTCATAATACATATAAGAAATTGAAGATGTATCTAATTAATATTATAATTAATAAATCACACATAATAAACCTTAAAGTTGAACTTGGAAAACCCATGGCCTACTAGCAGAAATTTATCATAATTTAATGTTTTAATGTTTTTTCAGCATTTCTGGAAACCCTATGTATGAAGTATTATACATCATGCTGAAGAGAAAAAATAGCGATTTGCATTAAAAATCAAAGCAATTTTTGAATACGCCATTGGATTTTGCGCAAAATTCTCTGTTAAGACATAGTTCTTTGTGCAACATTATTCCATATAAGCACGTAAATATGGAAGGGGCCCAAAAAGTATAAATTTTCAAAATCGACATGTAAACGGAAACTGTTATGCAAAATCTGATCAGGCCATCTTGAGTTTCACAATAAAGTAGGACAGGAACGTGAAACCGCAATGCTCTATATCTTAGAACAACGGAGAAACCTAGCAGTATCAACCACAATGGGAAGCACAGAACATTAGTATTCCTTAAATACATTGTAGTTCAAAAAACTAATAAAAACAAAATTAGAAAATAATTTGCAACATATCCAAATTACGAATAGAGTAAAATAAATACACAACATAGAAAATATCATCACCTCCATAATCAGTATTTTTATAAAAATTGAGTACTTGGTGCAAGACACCGCCGTGTCTCTGGATGTGAAGATTGCTCACCCTGATGATCCTGATCAAGATAATGGAATAAAACTATTAAATTTTGCTATTGTCATAGGTCCTCGATAATAACGTTCTGAAGTGGGCAAAATCACGTTCGAAGATTCCGTTACAAACATACAAACATAGATAACAAGCTAATGGGTAAAACGTGGTAGAATAGAGCAATTTCTTACTTTAAAGTCATCCATCAGTCCTAATTTCTTTGTAATCATTTTGTACTCATCTCTCGTCCTATATGTAATTCTAACAGGAACATTATATTCTACTTTTCCATCTTTGAGATCTTGATGCTTGACAATGGGACTCTGGTAAACTTTGTGGACGAAGTCATTGTCGTAGATATCCTGAAAATGATTCTTTACTTTAGATCAATTAAACTACCATATTATCAATAACTCACCTTCAATAAGTAGCTGAGGTTCATCTTAGTGAAAGGCACAAATTCTTCATCCAATTTTATGTACTTCAAATGTTTCTCATAGAACATGCCACTGAAAATAATGAAATCATTAGCCGGTGATCTGTAGATGAATCAATAATATTACTTTGAAACCCCTGATTTTCCAAAAGTCCTAGTTCTTGAAATTTCAGGACGTATGCAGGATCTATCTCTTCGCTGTGCAGGATCCCGAATCCAATCATCCCAATAGCTATAAAGAAATCAACTCAGAATGACATGTCTATGCAAAATAAATAACACTATGAAAATAATAACCCCTTTTTATTTTGTTTTTCGGAAGGTATATACATTGTCTATCCAACCATATACTGATATTACCAAAATAAAATAATACAGGGTGAGAAAAAATTATTAATTATTTTATATTTACAACGGAAACCGTTACAATAAATTGGTTACCTTCTGCAATGATACAATGTGATAGACGATATACATTGTTTCTGATGTATACAGGTCGAATTTTCCATTTATTGTAAATGTTTCCGTTGAAATTATAAAATAATTAAAAATTGTTTCTCACCCTATATTACTTTATTTTGCTAATATCAGTATATGGTTGGATGGACAACGAATATACCTTCCGAAAAAAATAATAAAAAGGGGGTGTTTCCATTTGAAAAAATAATCGATGACGTCACCACAACTACCCGGATCACGTTACAAGCTTCGTATGTATATCAGGAGGTGTCGATTTGAAAATAAAAATCGACCTGTCTCAGGATTTTCTTCAAATTCATATGCGTTAGAGATAATGAATTTATTCCATACATTTCCACCATACTATGGACGGCCAGACAACTGCAGTCAAGCAGCGGGTGTCAGAGAGACAGCCATTTACCGCGTGATATAAATCGTTTTACATAAATAGTAGTTATAAGTTCCATATAAATTAGTGTTCCGTTAAGTTAAAATAAATAAGTTCGAAAATAAATAGTGTCGTGTTCGCTTCTGCACCCGAATAACGTAACAATATGTTATTTAGAAGACAAGAATATCAATTTATTTAAACTTCCATTGGATTGAATATGAAAATGACAAATAATACGAATAAATACAAGTGAAAAAACAAGATATCAAGAAACAGTTAGGCCTAACATTTATTTTGAAATCTGTAATCACCTTTCAACACAAGAGCAAAGTACCTATGCTTAAAAAGCTAATTACCAAGAGGCATAATATGTATTATAAACCATACTGTCATTAGGTTAATGAAGATGGGATGTTAATTTCTCTAATTTTTCGGATTGTCTCTCCTCGTCTATATAAATTAATGTATTAGTATTATTTCAATAAAGCATCTGATTTGTTCTTATTACAGGCATATTATCTGGTTTGTTCTCATTACAAGTATATTGAAATAATACTAATATTTCTATTCATAGGGACTAGGAGGAAACATCTCCAAGAAATGGATATTAAAAAGCAATTTGAAATTAACTTACGCCTTTGGCCACTTGGTAGACAGTTCCATCCAAACATTTTTTGTGAGCATCCAACCCAATCCAGGAAAAAAATCGGTACGATAAAGCAACTCTGGTCTATTAACATTTACAACTCCTTCTTTACCATTATCATTCCATGCAGATATACACCAGAGGGAAGAATCCTTCACCAAAAGTGGATATGTACCAAGAAAGTACTCAAAAAAGTCAGGGGCTACTTCTAAGTCATCTAAAAGAGAAAACATGGCAATGTTTTAGTTAGATAACAATGCTTTTTTTTTTCGATTTGTTAACACGATGTTCTTTGAACATTATAGGGATTCCCTAACTACTTGAATATTTAGAGCTTAGAGGCTCAGAGCATGAATCTCATATAATTTGAACCTCAAATTAGTAGTTGTGGAGATATTCTACATAGAAATTAAAGAGGAAATTTTCTCAACATTTTTCCATTCATTGATAAAAATAATCCATATCATATAAACAGAAAAAAATTATATATATAAATGATCCCCATTCGGCCTGGAGTGGCAGGTCTTGGGATCACATAATTGAGTGCAGTAAAACATTGAACCCAAGTATACAAAGTCTCCAGGAAACTGTGGGAAATTATTCGGATTCCTTTACCAATAGGAAAACGGAGGCATAAGCCCCTAAAGGACACCACTGGAAATCGGTTTTTCTTGTATAACTTTTGGAGGTCTTTACAAAATGATACCACAGACTCCTGAGATCAAAGTGAGAAGATTGAACCAAACCAAACCAAACGCTCCGTTTACCCGCTACAGGGCGTTGGAATTGAATTTGGTCAACTAACTTGCAAACCAATAGAAATATCACAATCTTTCAAGAGGGCTGAAATTTAGGTATTGAATGAGATAATAGAAAACAACACCGAGATCTGTTCAGTGGCATAAAGTTCTATCAAATTTTCGATCAACAGTACTCCAAATATGTAACATCCTATATGTCCATCAGTATAGAATGTTTTTTATGCATAATAGTCCTATTAGTGTGCCTACAAAATTTCAGAATGATATCTATATACTATTTTGAAAGACAGAAAAAAATAAAAAATAAAATTCAATTCCAACGCCCTGTAGCGCCTAAACGGAGCGTTTTGGTATAGAGATAAAGGTATGTTCATGCTTGTACGAATTCCGCAAAATTTATGCGAAAATATGGCGACTGCGAATATCGCAATAATGAAGTTGAAATATATTAACTCTTTTGCGAATTCGGATGGAATCATAACCACATAAAATGTATTGTTATTTTGATAACATCAAAATTGGGGAATTAGAGCGGACTGCAGAGGTCGCAAAAGACGAGACTGGACACTAGACTACAGGTAAGTACAGAATTATAATTGAAAATTTCATCATTTCTTCATATTATGATTAAATTTTCTTCGTAGGATGGATTCTCTGTACGAATTAATTTTAAAGTATCATCTGTATCGTCTCTATACAACTAATGATGTATCCAGAAGCATAAAAAGGAACTGTACTGTTCGAAGCATTTTCAAATGCCGAAAAATGAATGGAGACTGGTACTGGTGGGGGACGTTTCCACGTCAGCAACTAGTCCCCAATGGGACCTTTTTGCAAACCCCAAGTGTTTTCAATGACTGATGTGCTGCTGTGTTTTGTAGGCTAGTAATGTACTCACTACCATATGCGCAGTGGCAGGCCTGCTAACTATCATCGTTAACCCCCGAGACCGAGGTCTACTTAAGCAGCTGGCCCGCTCTCACGCTCAGCTGGGTATTTTTCCACACCCACCTACATACACCGTCCTACTTCTTCTCTGATGCTCACAACCAAATCATCATATCTTTCTGCGTGTTCTGTGTAGGCTTTGTTACTAACTCCATGCGCCACGTTAGGAGCAGCACTGTTAATTGGAACGCAACAGCGAATCGTGCAGGACTATCCCCAGCCGATGCTCCGAAACTTTACAATATTTAATTCGTAAATATTGAAAAAAGTTCCTTACCCGTGCTGGAAATCGAACCAACGACCTTGCGGTCGTGAGACGGACGCTCTTCCACTGCGCCAATCCCGGCTTCATGAATGGAGATTAGTACAGACTCGTTCGATAAATGCGACTGAATGACCCTAATACATATTTTTACTTTCGTGTAACTTGCCTTCAATTTGATGAACTTCTATCAATGGTGGGACCAGAAATAAAGAAATTAATATCACAACAGAACCCTCAACTCCTGCATCATTTGTCGCATGAGTATGAACGTCAAATTCTGTCGGAAATTTCATATTTTGCGATTCGCATAAATTTTGCGGAATTCGTACAAGCATGAACATACCTTAAGTTTGGTTCAATCATCCCACTTTGGTCTCAGAAGTTTGTGGTATTATGTTGTACAGACCTTTCAGGGACACCCTGTTCTTATATATTAGGAACAGGATTGGTGCAATGAAAGTGCGCCCGATTCATGATTGCCAGGTCGTGAGATGGAATCCAGCAAGTGCAAGGAATTTTTCTAATATTTGGTTCAATCATCTCACTTTGGTCTCAGAAGTTTGTGGTATTATGTTGTACAGACCTTTCAGGGACACCCTATTATTATATTTAAGGAACAGGATTGGTGCAATGAAAGTGCGCCCGACTCATGATTGCGAGGTCGTGAGATGGAATCCAGCAAGTGCAAGGAATTTTTCTAATATTTAATTCACGAATTGAATATTATAATTCAGGGACACCCTGTTATTATATTTTAGGAACAGAATTGGTGCAACGAAAGTGCGCACGACTCATGATTGCGAGGTCGTGAGATGGAAGCCAGCAAGGGCCTTTGCAATTTTTCTACTATTCAATTCACGAATTGAATATTATGAAGTTTCGGAGCATCGGCTGGTGAAAGTCTTGCAGGATTCACTGTGGCATTCCAATCAACAGTGCTGCTCCTGAGGTGGCGTATAGAGTTAGTAACAAAGTCTGCATAGAACACACCATTCAGATCCCTTTGGGCAAAAGGATCTCAATCGAGGTCGATGGCGAATTAGTATGTAAGCTCTTCGAAAGATCTTTCCAACGGCGAGGAAATATATAGAGTGTTCTATTTCGAATTTATACACCTTTTGCTGCATCCTGTTTAATTTTTCAGAAAATGTATCTGTTGATTCGAGAAGGAGAACAATGTCACTGTAAGGATGTTCTTTATTGTTTTTTATACTGTCAAAAGTTGTGGTTATAGGAGGTGGTACGTCATAACGTATCACCCGCTACATATATACCAACAAAGTACATACTACTATTATAATTAATTGATTATTTAATATGAGGGACACTAGTTGGAATCACTTAAAAAAGTGTCCATTATTATTATTATAATAGTTATTTTCGTATCTAGAGCGCGAAATGGTACTTTGGTGATCGAGATCTGAGCCGAGTTAAAAAAATAGTCGAGAGGAGGATAGGGGGAGGCCTCTTAAGCCAGTTCAACACTATTTTTTATATCAAGCTAAGCATATTTTTACTTTAGAACAATATTTTTTGACGTTTGTAGAAAAAACAATATTCGAGATGACCAAAGTATTTCGCGCTCGAGTTTTTTTATAAACGTCAAAAAATATAGTTCTGAAGTAGTAATAGAAAAAATAGTGTTGAACTGGCTTAGGCCTCTCCCTATCATTCCTAGGTATGCACGATATTCCACGAACATTATAGGAATTTCCTTTCGTGCGGTCCAAGAGATAAAAAGAAAATATTGTTATATATTCAGAAATAAATGATTTCTTGGATGTTTGCTCGATTGAGGACCATAAAGTTAAAATATAAAAATCCCACATAGTTTACATACAATGCGCGAAGTATGTACTCCGCGCATCGTTTTACTTCGCGCACTGATTCGCACATGGTGTCGTGGTAACGTAGGAAACTGAAAAAAGTGTCACTTCGCAATAGGGAACTTCACCATGATTTTTTGAATTTTTTTTCAAGATTTAGAACACATACTGAGTGAATTCAGCATTTTTCAATTTTCTTACGATCGCGGTTGATCCAGAAAAAAAATATTAAATTGAACCTAAATTCAAACGATAGCTCGAATGCGCGCGAAATATTGATGGCATTTCATTGGACGAATACAAGGTGCGTCACACCGCGTCATACACTTCGGACGGACATTCTCATCGGGTTATTCGTCTTGTCACTTGGTCTTGTCACCATTTGTCATTGCATTTGTCACTCAATAAAAATTATAAAAGTGATATTCTTTCGTTCTGAACGTACTGGCACATTTCACTTGAACTGAACTGAATCAGTTGACATGCAATAAACGTCATTTGAAAGAAAGCATACTAACTGATTCAGTTCAGTTCAAGTGAAATATTTCAGTTGATTCAGTTTGAAAGAATATCACTAATATGACACTGATAGATCACTGAAATTGAAATGAAATAATGAACTATGAACTAGATTTCGAGGTTAATCTTTTTCTTCTTCTATAGTTTGTTTTGTAGCCATTTTTCTCTCAAGTCACAGATCACCCAACCACTCTGTGCTCGAGTACTGTGTCTGTGGTTTTGTGCAACGCATCCTCTTTGGGTCGTCAGAGGGAGCCTCAAGAAAATACAAGTGACGTCACACCGCGAAAAATGGTCGTTTGGTACTCTCTCGATTTGTAGCACTTTTGAAGTATTAATTAAACGGTTGTAAAGGAATCAATAGATGAGAGGAAGTGCTATTTGATATACTGAGTCATGTATGAGACCGTTCGCCATATAAAAAGGGCTATTTTCAATCATAGTGAAATTGCCTATTTTTCATCAATGCGCGAGCCTTGTCATTTTTTGACGTTTTTAAAAAATATATATTTAGCTTTCTATTTATCCCTACAAGGATACGTTTTTTGATACCGAAGAATAAAAGTGAATGAATTATTGCCCGCTATTATTTTCCATTTTTCAGTTTGGGGTTAGAAGTTCAAGCTAACCAAATTTGTTCGAGGTCCTGCCCTGATAAACTAATTCAAGGGATCCTTAGTAGTGTCACTCATATTGGTTTTCCTTAAATCATATTGATTACCTTGAAAGATATATAAAATAATGACAATTTCTAACGGCGTCATTAGGGGGCACATGTCTCCGTAAGGAAAGCCTGCATGGAAACATCTCGGGAAAAATTTTATATGAACTTGTCATCTCATTTTTCAAGTTCTGTTCAAATCCGAGAGATTTCTCACATTTTCCCGGACACACTGTA